AGTCACCTATAGGTGGCCGGCCCAGATCTGTGCCAAGGCACAGATCTGAGAGCCTATAAATAGATGGCATGGTTTATTTGTTGAGGGTTGGAACTTTTGGAGGCGAAACTCTGCTGGATTCAAGGCTCAGAACTTAAAAAGATTTAAGCTTTGGGACTTTGAGGACTTGCTCTTCCAGATCCGGTGCTCGGCGATCGTCAACGCCAAATAAGGTAAGAGTTCGAGAGGAACCGGATCTCAGATCTACGTAGTCATCCACCGGATCAAAGCTTGGCCTTTGATCCCGAGAACTAAAGGCTACTATTTCCTTGGCGAAATAGTACCCTCGGCTATTATTTCCTTGGCGAAATAATACCCGTCATACTGCGTAGATCCGACCGGATCTAGATCACGTGGTGGTCCACGGATAAACCCCGGCGCAGGCGAAGAACCCACAAAGCGAGTGACCGCAAAACAGGAGCTCGCGATTCGTTCGAAAGGAAAGTTGTAATCTTTTTTCTTTTTTTTGATTTCGTTGTAACCAGATCTTATAAAAAGACCGGATCTTTGTAACCGATTAACTGTTATTAAAGAGTGTGCAATGACATTAATGAAGAACACGATTTTTCCCGCGAACATGATAGAACAGACATAGTTGTAGTAGACGGACCAGGAGCGGGTGTTGACGGATTGTGAATTTCTTCTTGGCCGTGACAAGGGTGTTCGTCGCGGTCGCATGGTGCGCCGCGGCAGCAGAGATTGCCGTGGTTAGAAGATGTGCTGTGGCAGTTGGGACTACCGCGGTTGAAAGACTTACCATGGTAGTGTGGACTGTCATGGTTGAAGGACTTACTGTGACAGTATGGACTGCCGCGATTGAGGGATGCATCCTGGTGATCCAATTTTTACGTATGTTCGGTTTTGGGAATCCAAACTTTGCAATTCTTCGGTGATTCTTTAGACACCATTTCTTTCTTCCCTTCTTGTGTTTGTTGACGAAGGGCATGGGTACGAGTGGTGTTTGCACGACGGTTTTGTATGCGTTCTTTGAGGGTCGAACGAGCCCTTTTGATGAGAGTCCATTCTTCCGTTGTGAGTTGTGCAGAAACATGAGTGGTTTGTCGTTGAGGCAATTGGATCACTCGATGCTTCCTCGACTCTAGGTCCACATAATAGCGAACCCCATCGGTTTGTTCAAAGGCTTTGGCCAATTGACGAGCGCGACGCTGATGTTGTCTCTGACGAGCTCTCTTCGTCAGTGCCAGAAAGCTTTGATTCAATGACCTCTTAACTGGAGAAGGATCATTTGGAGCAGAGATGTTGCCAGCAGAGTCCTTAGCAACGATCGGGCAAGAATCTTTACCTGTAGTCTTTATCGGAGTTAAAGACTAAAAAACCTTCTTAGAAGATGAAACCTTCCTGCATTTACGAGGCGAGAAAGATTTTGAGGATGAGGATGACAAATACTCCTCAAATTTCACCTGATCGAACTCATATTCGATCTCTTCGTTAATCACAATCTTGATTGGCTGCGACACGATGGTCTCGGCAGCGAGACCGTTGGCTCCCACTGTGGTCGTCAGTTTGTTTTTGTCGAAAGTTATCTTCATTATTGAATCCATTAAAACTTCAGTTGCTTATAACAAATTACAATAAAAAAATAAGAAAATTACAACTTCCTAGAAAATAACACAAAAATTATTTATCGACTTCTGCTTTTGTGGAGACTTTGTCTGTGTCGGGAGTACGTTAACTCGTGGACTACCGATTCACAAGATTCTGATTGAATTGTAAAGGCTTTGGGGATTCTTTCTTCATTTATCGAAGTTAGAATTTAAAGCGAATATCTTGTTGATGTAAGATGTTCACTCTTCCAAAGATTAAGTTAATGCTTAAATCTCTAGGAATCAACAAAAGCTTCTTGAAAGTATTTTTGAGGAATCAAGACTCTCTCTTGCTCAAAATTCACCAAATGCCCAAGCTTATCTGCTCTAATCTGCTCTCTCTCCTTAACTCCGTGTGTAAAGAGGTATTTATAGGGGTAGGGGTTCATAACTGTGGAAACAGAGGCAAAATAACTGACCAGTCGAACTTTCTTTGGGCGCGTCAGTCTCCACTGCCACGACCTTTAGCGCGCCAGCGTAGACTGCCGCGGGTGAAGAGACCGTTTCAGCCACGTTCAGCCACGTTTATAATTGTTCTCCCATGACTTTTTACCTACAAAATGCCACTTTTCTCGGTCTGTAACCATCCTTCCACGTCAGTACACATTCTCCTTTTGTTATGATATTACGTGAACTCTCAGAAGATGCTAAAAAACCGTCAACAAATCACAAGAAGGACATCCCATGAAGACATGCGTCACCATACTCTGTCGCGCATACACGCGTCATAACACGCTACCGTGCCGTGGCGCGTCACCGTCAGCTGTCGCGCCTATGCGCGTCACCATATGCTGTCGCGCCTATGCGCGTTAGTATTTGTTGTTATGTTAACACGCATTGGTGTACTTTATCACAGGCATGTACATTGCTCTCTTCTTAGTATTGATCTGTATTTGGATATCTATAAACATTTTTTGATACCTACACTCATGAGAACAACAATTACAACACAATGTATGGATAAGTTAATTTATATAGAAAATGATCCTGCATGTGAGTGAGAGAATAAAAATTATTATGCATGCCATCGTACCTATTATTGAGCACATAATATAAAGTAATAGTTGAAATCGGGGGGGGGGGGGGTGAATAGGGTAATACGCTAATCTAATCTGACATTAATGCTAATTTAAAAAACTTATTAATTATTATCCTAGCAAGTATGATTGTGCAATAAGATATGCAAGGATAAGAGAATAAATAAGGACGGAATAAACATGAACTAATGACGATCTAACAATATAATGAGCACAAGATAAAGACGCCAAGGCAAATGCAAACAAATGATATGATCACAACGTTCAGTCACCCTCGATCTACGTCTCCGCTCCCCACTCTCGGGGAGAACTCCACTATCACAATGAGTTTTCAATGTTTACCCAAAACGTTTACATCTCACAATCAGTTTTCTAGCTCACCGAAAACTTTCACAATCTCACACACTTGCAATCACACTCTACACCCTCTAAGTGTTGGCCTAGCCCGTGTCACCTTTCTCAAGTGCTCGGAATTATCACCTCTCTCTAGGCTTTACCACCAACCCCACTCCTCTTGGAATCGACCCCGTCTCTCACCACACACTTCTCTCAGTGTACAAGTGTATTACAAAGTGTATCTCACAATAAAAGCTCAATACAAGGTTTGTTCTCTATAATGGACGAGAACTCAATTAAGTCCACTCTCAAAGTTACAATCCCACAACCCAATTATACAATATGTGTAAAAATACTAAAGCTCAATGGTGTGTGTAAAACAATGAGAAATAAAAAAAAAATCAAACTCAAATTGATCTAGCAAATATAAATATAATAAATAAAGGATAAACAAGCTAGATAATTGAGTTAGAAAAACTTCTCTATAACAAGAGTGAGAGATTGGAAGATTGAAACCCCAGATGAATTTGATCTCCTCTTGTGAAACTTTCTTCACATGAAAACTTTTGAGAAACAAACTTAAAACACCCTTAAAAACTTTGTAAACCTCTTTTAAAACATTCTTGGTAGTTGGAAATGTTAAATGCAATAGGGTATATATAGGATAGAAGAACCCATCCCAAGAAGTACACAAAAACCCATAAAAATCACAAAACAACAAAATCTGGAAAATAGTCGCTACTGTGCAACAACTAATTTATAAGTCGACTTATCAGAAGTTATAAGTCGACTCATATGTAATAAGTCGATTTGTCAGATCAGTAAGTCGACTTAATAAATTAAAAACACTATCTGCAAAACAACTCATAAGTCAACTTAACAGAAGATATAAGTCGACTTAGTATAAATCGACTTGCTAAAATAGTAAGTCGACTCAGCAGATAGAAATGCATTTTCCAGAGCAGTTCATAAGTCGATTTGTCAATCCTTATAAGTCGACTCATGAACGTGCACATGCACTGTTCATGTATGAAATCTGAGTTTTGAAGTGCCTTAAAAAATAAAAAATAAATTCTAAAAAATATTAAACTTTGGGAAATATTTATAAACACATTGTGGCTAAACACATTGTTTACCAAAACAAAAAATGATAAATATGAAACATGTATGTATGTATATAAATAAGTATATTTGTTTCATATTTAAACTTGAACACTATAAAACCAAAACGTGTATGTGTGTATATAATTGAGCTCTAAGCATAACCACACATAATATAAACTCCTAAACTAATGTACCCAAGCTTGATGATCTTCAATAAGCTTATCTTGGTTTGCTTTGCGGATGAAGCTTGATCTTGAATCTTTGACTTGAATTGTATTGTCTTCATTCCGGTATTCCATCAACCTCCTTTAAATGTCATAGTGAAGGCTCAATCCAACCAACCTCCAACATCGATGTTTGTCTAGAATATCTATACTCTAGACAAACGAGGTTAGGGATTGTTTATAAATCATCAAAACGAGATTAGGGAGTAGGCTCATAAACATGAGACCTAACAATAGTAGTTTTATCATAACACCCGTCTACGAGGAAGATGTTTTGAATACTTCACATGGAAAGTAGAAAGAGCACAAAGTAGATTTTGATCCTCTCTTATAGCTGAGAACGTCCTGCTCATTCCGAGATTTTATTCTAATGATAAAATCAACACAGAAATAAGGTCTCCTGTAGCTCAGAACGTCCTGCCCATTTCAAGATTTTATTTATTCTTTGATAAAATCCACATAGAAATAAGGTTAAAATTCCAGGAATCAATCCTCCCAATCGTCATAAATCACTCCGTGCGCTTTGGTCCCCTGGTCAACAAAAAAACTATGCGGAGATACCTACGACAGCTCAATCGGACCGGTGGGAAACCCGCGAAAATCCCGAAACTACCCCTACTCACTCTTTTAAAGCCCCTCAACACCCCACCGAAGAAAATTCCTCCTCCTTTTCGGTGCGAAGGCGATTGGCTTGTTCGCTTCGGCCCCCGAAGCCCTCATCTACCGATTCCTCCCCAAATCCGAACCTAGGGTTTCGTCGGATCCCATCGAGTCAGGTATCAGTTTTTCACTGTAGTCTCTAGGATTCTGTTGAATTGATAAGATTTTATACCGGCGGATCTGCTTTCCGTGTTCCCTGTGTGAAAAAGTTTCGTTCTTGGTTGAAATTTGCTGTTTTTTGTTGTATCAATTTGTTGTTTATCTAACTAGAGCAGTAGAGAGGAGCAGTGATTGCTTTGCTTTTCACTGGATTCGTTTATGATTCTGTTGAATTGATGAGAACTTATGTGAAAAGTTTTGGTTTTTGGTTGAAATTTGATGGTTTTTGACTCGTAAAAGTGTATACTGATTACGTTAGTAATCACTGGGTTCTTTATGATTGTGTTAAATTGATGGATTTTTTTAAAAAAAGTCTCAGATAGATTTGTTCCGTGTTTGTTTGCAGGAATTTTCTGTAGATTATACTTTGAGTTGTGAAGATGTTTGGCCGTGCTGCTCCGAGGAAGAGTAACAACACTAAGTATTACGAAGTTCTTAAAGTTTCGAAAAGCGCCGGGCCTGATGAGTTGAAGAAGGCGTATAAGATTGCTGCTTTGAAGAATCATCCTGATAAGGGTGGGGATCCTGAAAAGGTTGTTACTTGGATTCTAGTTATTAGTGATGTTTTGCATTTAATTGTGGTTGTTTTGGCAAATTTGTAATAAGGGTTTTTTAGATGTTGGTCCCTTCAATCTTTCATATTTTCCTTAAGGTAAAGAGGAAGAAAATTTGTGATTTTGGGGAGAAAAGAATGAAGTGAGTGTAAAACAGTAATCTAGTATAACCCAACGACAGCCAAGAAATGGATCAAAAAATTAATAGGCAGACGAATTTGGGGTAACTTAAATGAATTGTGGGCCTAAATAGCAATTTCAGTGATTTGGAGACTAATTTAAAGTTATGAAAGATTTAAGGGACCAATATTAAAAAAACCCTTCTAATTAATGAACTGTTGGTTCTGCCATTTTATCAGTTCAAGGAGTTGACTCAAGCTTATGAGGTTCTCAGTGACCCAGAGAAAAGAGAGATTTATGATCAGTACGGGGAGGATGCACTTAAGGAGGGAATGGGAGGGAGCGGTGGGACCCACAATCCTTTCGATATTTTTGAGCAATTTTTCGGTGGGGGAGTGTTTGGCGGGGGAGGGTTTGGTGGTAAGTAGATTATGCTGTGTTTACTATTACAAGCATTAGGAGTTGCTAAATTTTGTTTATGATATGTAGGCAGCAGCTCTAGGGTACGTAGGCAGAGGCGAGGTGAAGATGTTGTTCATAGTCTGAAGGTGTCTTTAGAGGATGTGTATAATGGGACATCCAAAAAATTGTCGCTTTCTAGAAATGTCTTGTGCTCAAAGTGCAGAGGGTACGTCGCGTTACATTTTTTTTGTGCTTCTTTGTCTTTTGCAGAATCTTGTGCAATATTAAGCTTAACATCATGTTTGAATATATTATCTTGTTTGGTACATGGAAACTAGTTGTATTTTAGTTAATTTCTAACTTATATGGATGCTATGTCTACTTTTAGTATCGTACCCCACATTCGTTTTTTGGTGGGTTGAATTTTTTTGATTTTATCTTGAAAGTGGCTCACATGTCATGGTCGTTAAATTTGTTGATTTTTTAGTTTTTATTTCTTTAAGATAAAAGAATTAGATTTTACTTTTTTCAAGAGTGCAATTAAAGCTCTTGTATCATGATTCAGAAGTACGATTGATGCTGACTTTTCTATAGAAAAAGTGTTTGAAATTTAAATCTAATGAAATCGAAGGTTATTAGTTAAAATTATGAGTAAAGAGGTAGTCCTCAAGTGTCAAAAGGTATCAAAGATGAGAAAAGCTATAAATAGAGGGAACGAAAGTAACTAGTCCATTGCCATATGGATTTACAATGATTACTTTGGAATCCACATAAACTGTTTATAGGATTCATTTCACCATGTAGTGTTATCTAGCGAGGACTCACGGAGGGCATATTACGACACAGAATGAATAGGTAAATACTACTAGTGTTGTGCAAGGTGTTTGATGTAGGATATGTTTGTGATCAGTGTTTTAAATATCGTCCGATAATATCTATTTATTGGCGAGTTATTACTTTTGAACCCCCGCTGCTAGGATAGTTGCAATTTTATATTAGTTATTATATTGGGGTTGTTTATCGGTGTTAAATCGGCGATGAAGTGATATATTAGCTGAGTTTATATGTCAAAAAACCGGAATTATCGCCAACCTGATACACCCAAACACTAAAACCCGACCCAACCCTTTTCGAAGTAAATTAGCCATAACGCCTCCTCTCTGTTATTTCTTCCCCTTTGTGTCTGTGCCCTAAAATCCCAAATCAACTTTGACTTCCTCTGCTCGTCATCAACCTCGACTCCCTCCTCCGTTCTTTCTCCCCTTCACTCTGCTCCCTCTCCATCTCTGCATTTATTCTCTATCGACTTCAACTTCAAGTCGTCAATTTTGAGCTCTCCGTCGACTTCAACTTCAAGTCTAGATTTCAACATCAACATCTTTGTCCATCAATGCCATCGGACGCCCTCGACTTTGACTCGAGTATATTTATAATTCATTTAAGTATGTTAGATTACATTTTAGGACATTTTATTATGCATGCACACCATCTAATATGACACTCCGATAAATACTACTTATCCTCGAGATCCGCTATCCTATATGGATTTTGACTGTCTGATAAATCCTCGATAATTGATATTTAAAACCTTGTTCGTGATAGACAAAGGTTAAAATAACTCTATACGTGGGCATGCTTGGCTGAGATTGTGAGAGCAATACTAGGATGTTTTAATTATGTCTAGTGTTATCTTGCGTCTGTGAGGACTCGTAGAGAGTATATCACGTCACAGAAGTGAGCGCTACAAGGACTATCCAAGGTGTTTGATGTGGGTCATGTTGGTGATAGACAAAGGTTTAGTAACTCCATTGTTGGGCATGCTTGGCAGAGGTTGTGAGACAGTAGTACTAGGATGTTTTTTAGGCAAGTCTTCCCCTTACAACTAAACTTTTTTTTCTTTGCTTTTGCATTTAATTACTTTTGCTTATAATTGAGCTGGTATTGTATTTCATAATGTTAATTGTGAAATCTCACAGATCTTTTCTTATAATAGATTATTTTATAAACAGATGTTCTCTTGATTTATTCCTGACTACACATGATTGAAGATAAGTTTGTCAATCTGTTGTAATTGAAATATGTTAGCCTCCATATACTGTGGAGAGGAAGGGGCACCGAATCTTATGATAGGTAGAGATTCGGACAGAGAAATTGGAAAGAGAAAGATCTTTAAGTTTTACTCAAACGTTGGATTTACAATATTTTAAAAGTTTCCTTACCCTGAATTTGTGAGAGGGTTGACATTTAGTTGGTAACTTATCTTGAATTCTTATCAATTGATCCTTATTTGGTGCAATTTAAATTGCATAAGCAATGACGTAGGCAATCTCCATTAATAGGGAAAAAAAATTAGATGGTGGTAATTTATTTGTACAGGTAATAATCCTATTGAACATAACCCACATATATTTAAATTTTTTCCTAATATATGTTCTTTAGAAACACAAGTAAAGCCTGTAGAATGTGGATCTACAAATTTGCCTAGTATCCTATCTGCTATCATAATCAAGAAAAGTACTTGGCATCAGCATCATATAATATAACAATAAAACTAACATTTCTTAATTACTCTGCTTAAGGAATAGAAAAATAATCTCTTTCAAAATTGGTATTGTTATGTGTTAAGTATTGAATGCATAAGTAACACAACCATGTCATACACACTTCATATGACGGTTTTATATCAAAATGGAATTTGAAACGATTTTTTTTCTCCAAACAATGTCAACTGTCTTGATGATGGGGATTTGATTTTGATTTGACTCATTTTGTTCATCTTCTGGCTTTATCTATACCTCATAGTTGGATTTTTTTTCTCTGCAAAAAAAGTCATCTTTCTCTTCTTCTAGATATTCCCAAGGTTAGAGATGACACTAATTGGCGGCCCTTTTGGAGTTTGGTGGCATCTTGCATGCTCAAAAATTTCAATGGGTAGGAATTTGTAGAATTGAGGGTGTTGATTTTAGATCATTGGCCACTTATAAAACCATCAAATCATCATGGAGCCTTGCTCTATAGCCAAATGCATTTTGTCGGGGAACTAGATTTGATGATGAAATTGACAATAATGATTGATGACAGTTGTCTAATTGGTTACTGCAACTTTTTTTTGGGTGTTGGAAAATATGATTCTTGCTAGCTTTTTCTTGCTAAATACCTTTATTTTTTAAGGTATTTCATTACTGTATCGCTTCAGAATAAAAATCCATCAGTGGCGTAGCCAGTATTATTTTTTGCCCTAGATGAAAAATAAAGGTGGTCCACGAGTATGTCGTGAGTGAGAGGAGGGAGGCACGAGAGAGGGAGGAGGGCTGGAGATTGTTGAGATGGAGGTCCTGGAAGAGGAAAGAGAGGAGGTTGGATCTGTGGGAGAGGGAGGTGAAATGGCGGGAGAGGAGGGGAAGCAAGGGGAGGAGGGAGAGGTCGTGGGAGAGGCGGAGTTTCTTGCCCTGGGCAGCAAGCTCTGGCTACGCCCTCTGAAGTCCGTCATTTTCTTTTAAAGACGTGTAGAAGAGAAGCAAGATGAATAAGAGGACAAGAACTTACATCATGGATATATAAGAATCTAAATTTGTAGACCTTTGGGTTATTAACAGCAGAGTAAAAAGAAATTATATCACGGGACTCAAAAAGAGAAAGCTTGATATTTTTACTTCATCACAGAATAATATATGACACCAATAAATAGATGAAGACATGTTACCACTGTTTTAAATATCGGCCGATAACCGATATTATCAGCCGAGTTATCGGATTTGGGAGCTCTCCGATAGGATAACTTAGATTTTTAATCGGTTATCGTTTTTGGCAAGTTATCGGGGAGTTATCGGCGTTATCGGTACTTATCGGCCGATAAGTAAGGTTTTTTTATCGGGATTATCGGCCGATAAGTAAGACTATGCAATCGAATGGTTTCATTGTGCGGTCAAAATGTAAGTTTTGCTTTCTACAATTGGTTAGTGATTCTAAACATGATGATTTACATTTTGGTATGTTTATATTTCATTAAGCATGGTTAGATTACATTTTTTAGTTATTATATTATATATATACACCATCTAGTATATCACTCCGATAAATACTACTTATCCCCGATATATCCCCGATTTCCGCTATCTGATAAGAATTTTGGTCGTCCGATAAATTCCCGATAACCGATATTTTATCCCCGATTTTCGCTATCCGATAAGAATTTTGGTCGTCCGATAAATTCCCGATAACCGATATTTAAAACCTTGCATGTTACACGGACTAATTTTTCCGACCATACGAAGGGAGTTGCAAAAAGATCCTTAGTGGGAGTGGGCAACTAGAGGGTGTGCTGGTGGAATGAGGAAGTTCATCTAGGAAAGAAGACTTTCCATGCTCTCAGAAGTGTAAAACAATTGAATTTGGTAAGTACATAGAAAAGTAAGGTAAGAACCAAAAAAGGTAAGAGACCCGTGGATCATCAATTTGGAGTAATGATAGAAGATTCTATGTAAGGAAGCAGCAAAGAAATAAAAGAGTTATTTAATAGGAGTTATACATGAAGTTATACGTTAAAATTGAATTATTCAATCCATGGTATGAATTATTAATATTGTCAAAGTGTTGTCTGATTAGTAAATGTATGCTAAAAAGAAACTAAATGAATATTAGAGAACCTAATTTATTTTATTGAAGCAACTCCGTGCACCCTTGAAGATGTTTTATGCTTGAGCTTTACCATGAGGGCTTTTACTTAATATGACCCGTTTGAAGTTTTGATAGAAGGAAAGAGCGGATATAGGAAGGTTTCGTTAAAAGAAAAGAGCGTCACTTTCTTGTATCCATTGTATAAAAGTGAAATAAAAGGTAAAACTTATGATGGCATACTCATCATGTAGTGAGTTTCAAGAAATAAAGCAGATAATGTTATCTAGTAATTCCAATGCATTCGATTAAATGATTAAGTGGAAGATGTCAGTAGGACAGTTGGAGGGAATACATATTGGTTCCGATACAGTGGTAAGCATAATTAGATTGTAGAAAATATGAATCATGTCCTTGTTTGTAATTTATAAACTTGTTAAAAGAAAAGAGCTCCACTTTCTTGTATCCATTGTATAAAAGTGAAATAAAAGGTAAAACTTATGATGGCATACTCATCATGTACACTTTCTTGTATCCATTGTATAAAAGTGAAATAAAAGGTAAAACTTATGATGGCATACTCATCATGTAGTGAGTTTCAAGAAATAAAGCAGATAATGTTATCTAGTAATTCCAATGTATTCGATTAAATGATTAAGTGGAAGATGTCGGTAGGACAGTTGGAGGGAATACATATTGGTTCCGATACAGTGGTAAGCATAATTAGATTGTAGAAAATATGAATCATGTCCTTGTTTGTAATTGATAAACTTGTTGGACATATTTGGGACAGGATGTGTGTTTCATGGTGGCATTAACTAGAAACTGGATAATTTTTAAGCTTGAAGTGGAGGGAAATTTCAGAATATGAAGCTTTGGAATTAGTATGACGAAAACAAAATTGTATGAAAACCTTAGCTAGAAAATAGAGGAAGGAAGACGGCCTTTGATGGTTTGAGGGCCAATAAACACACAGGAAAAAAATATTTTTTGTAATTAGGATCAATTATTTTCATGATGATAAATTGTGGAGGATGTTTCTCAGAAATTGGAATTAGAATCTATTGGTTAAACTGCTCAAGTTTAAGTATCATTGGGCTTTAACTTGGTTGAATTGATTAATATTTTGAAATAACATGGTTTACGCCGCACATATTTCATATAAGTTTAGAAGTCGAAGAGCAATATCTCTCAACACAATGATTCAACTTGCAGATGGTTGCCAGTGTTGGTTAATCCTTTTCTGTTAAAGTTTCTATAGTTGGAGCGTGTTCCGTAGCTGGCAATTTTAAGGAAAATGTATGGGCGATGTTTATAATTCATGGAAGAAAGCTACAAGTCAGTGCATGTAATTTCATGCTTTGATTCCTTGCATGTGCAAGTGCTGCATCAAAGATATGCTGAAGCAAATACTTCAGTGCCATTGCGGCATGTCCAACTCCATCTGAGTTTAAGTTATTATTTCCCTATTTATTCTAAATGCATTAGCTGCACATCAGGTATTGGTCCTTGTGCTTTTGATGCATTCTGCTACATAGTACTAGTTCTGTAGTTAGATGTTTTATCTGTCTTTAGTCTTTCTAGTTCCCTCTTCAGACGGCATGATAGGAAAATGGTGTTGTAAATAGCGACGTAATAACAATAGCAATAGCGGCAGCAGCTATGCCCGCACTGTTATGGTTGAAAGTGGTGATTTTTAGCAGCACTGCGCTATCAGCTCAGAATAGCGGCCAATAGTACTATACATCACTTTAAAATATAAATTCTTAGTTTGTACCCGACCTAAACCAATACAAATCCTTTATCCTTCTGTAAATGAGTTTTTTTTACCCGACCCGAATACAAATTGTTTTTTTAAACTTAAAACCATTTCTTTTCCCGATCCCCTCCCCATTGTCCGAAATCAAAAAAACCCCAACCCAAAATCGCCGCCATTGCCTTTCATCGTCGAAGACCATTGGAGCCACCACCGCCTCTCGTAGTCGAAGCTCCATCGCCTCTCATCATCCTCTCGTAGTTGAAGCTCCACCTCTCTCTGTACTTAATCGAAGCTTTCCGATCCTCCTCTCTGTCCCTCATGAAGTTCCTTTGTATCTCCCCACTCTAACTCCACCTTCTCTCTTTGAAGCACCGCCACCTCCTGGAAGCTCCTCTGTCTCATTCCGTATGGTACTTAATTAATATTGTGTGATTGTTATACATCTATTTCATGCGTAGGATCTCTATAAATCATCAAATATGCATTTGTAGATTTTTTAGATTTTTCTTCAATTTTTTTAATATTTATACATTTTTAAACTAGACCGCTTTTTGACTTTGCGTTTTTTGTCGCTTGTCACCTTTAAAGCCTCAAATAGCATTAGCGGTGCCTCAACACTTCACTACTCTTTCCTCTTTCCACAACCTTGATGGGAAAATGCACATCCGTATTTTTTCATCGAGATGTATTTGATGAAATAAAGCTTTAAATTCTTGTCATTCATGCAATTTTGCAAAAAGAAGTAGTTTTTATTTTGTCTTCAATCTGTTATTACTTCTCCTGCTGTCCCCTACTTGATATGATGATGTATAGTTGCAAGTTTGCTGGTTGGTATCTGAGGTTCCCTTCACCTCTGCTGTTATTAGCATGGTTTTAAATATCAGCCGATAATCCGATATTATCACCGAGTTATCGGATTTGGGAGCTTTCCGCTAGGATAAGTAGGATTTTTAATCGGTTATTATTTTTTGAGGTTTATCGGCGAGTTATCGGCGATAAAGGTACTTATCGGCCGATAAGTAGGCTATAAATATCGGCTTTATCGGTCAATAAGTAGGATTTGGGAGCTTTTACTTTCTTTTGGATTTGCTCTTTGAATGTTTACAAATTATGAACTATTTGTTGTTTTTGGAACTTGGTTGATTAGTGATTAGCTTATGTTTGTTTATGGATATTGATAATGGCTCATAACTACTAAATATCAACTTAATAAGTTTATGAATCTCATGATTAAACAATAATTATGTAGATGCATAGATGGTTCTTCATTCTTGATGTTATCAATAATTATGTAGATGCATAGATGGTTCTTCATTCTTGATGTTATCTTATTATTTGCTTGTTTATTATTCCATTTTGACTAACATTATTCTTCATTCTTGATGTTATCTTATTATTTGCTTGTTTATTATTCCATTTTGACTAACATTATATTTTTTAAGCTTATTTTTGTTTATTATTTGCTAGTATATTACTCCGATAAATACTACTTATCACCGATATATCCCCGATTTCCGCTATCCGATAAGGATTTTGACCGTCCGATAAATCCCCGATAATCGACATTTAAAACCTTGGTTATTAGAAGATAAATATCTTTATTAATCATCCTGTCAATGGGCAATTGACAAATTACAAATGCAACGAGGATATACGTAGATCTTGTCCTTTATTTACGACACAATTTGGCGTAGCCTTCTTAGCTCCTTCTGTTCAATTTCTTGTATGTATCAGTCGTTTTCTGGGATATTAACCTGTGGCACATATTTTTAATTGGTCTCTAATTTCCATTTACAATGTTTTTCGTACTTCTAGGTGTGAAAGTAACTAGTTCAATATCAGCCAAAAAAATTCCTTAAAACATTTAACTTATGCTGTTCAATATATGACAGAATCAGAAATACCATGTAAGTATTTGCAACAACTTTTTTGTGGTTATGTCTTCTGTTTTCATCATTTCAGTAAAGGTTCAAAAAGTGGGGCATCAGGCAGATGTTTCGGATGTCATGGTAGTGGAGTAAAGATGGTGACCAGGCAAATTGGACCGGGCATGATCCAGCAGATGCAACTTGTTTGCCCTGAATGCAAAGGAGAAGGTTTGTTGTTTGTTTTGTATAATCAGCCCTTTTTGGTACTTTGGATGTTCATACGTACAATCTTAATTGCGTAAATGGTTTTTTTTATATGCAGGTGAGGTCATTAGTGATAAGGACAGATGTCCACAGTGCAAAGGGAACAAAGTTACTCAAGAAAAGAAGGTTTTAGAGGTTCATGTTGAGAAAGGAATGCAGCATGGCCAGAAGATTGTATTCCAAGGAGAAGCTGATGAAGCTGTAAGTAGGTTAACCTATTATTGTTTTATTTTAAACTTTGTGGAGGTATTGCAGTATCCTGCTAACCTTTTGTTTAATTTAAACTATGTGGGGTTCTTACAGTGTACTCTTGCTGATTTGGACCACTAAAGTACCTCTTGGCTTGATGATATTATCATAGTTCTCTACTAATCATTTATTATGAATTTTAGAGTAGACCTTTTGTAAGCCACATTTAACAAGGAGACAATGCTTGTATACTCAGATTGAAATATTTGCCACCCTACTATGGCCTTTGAATTCAGGGCCATACAAGGAGAAAGTTCTTGTAGACTCAGATTAAAATGCTTGCAGACTCATTGAAATATTTGTTCAAAGGCCATAGTAGGGTGGCAAACATTTCAATCTAAGTGTGAAATTTGCTTGGTATACATGTATAACCCAGAACCTTTGTGCTAAAACTAGTTGGTAATTGCACAGTGATCTGGTAATGGAACATGAAAAGAGGTCTGGAGATCAAACTTTATATATATATTTATTTATTTATTTCTGGTTTTATTGTCTTTCAAGGAGAGACAAGTGACCAAGCTCTGAGTGAGAGAGCTCAAGTATTAAGTTTGCTCTGTATACATATTTAGGTTTTAGCTCATAATTCATGAATGGAGTAAGTAGTGACACTCACCATTGTTAAGGATAGCATGCCTCTTCACTTGGCCTTTGAAAGGCAGACAGATACTACTGAGCCACAGATTTGTCCTGGAATAATGTCGAAATTAATTATCTAATACTGTCTGTAAATTATGGATGTTTGCAGCCAGATACAGTGACAGGAGATATAGTTTTTGTGTTGCAAGTCAAGGAACACCCAAAGTTCAAAAGAAAGTTGGACGATCTGTATGTCGATCACACACTTAGCCTGACAGAAGCACTCTGTGGCTTCCAGTTTGCTTTGACCCATCTTGATGGAAGACAATTGCTTATTAAATCTGATGTAGGCGAAGTTATTAAGCCTGGTACGCGTTCCGTTTCTTGGGTTATTTCGATGTTAGTCCCCTAAATTTTTAATAGCCCAAATCATTGTAATTTGAAATTAGTCTGGCAAATCCTATAACTATCTTGAATTTAGTCCCCCTAGTCAGCAGTTGTTTGACTTGGGGTGGAATACTCTATTATTTCAAAATGCTTAAAAGATTAGGGGACTAATTTCAAAATGGGAAGATTTGGGGACTAAATTTCAAAACGCTAAATGATTTGGGGGCTAATATCAAGATATGAACTTTTGAGGGCTAATTTAAAAAAAAATCGAAAAAAGCCTATTCCTTTTCAGGATCCATCTATGATCTCGCTTATGGTACTTTTGTCCTATAATCAGGCCAACATAAAGCAATCAATGATGAGGGGATGCCTCATCATCAGAGGCCCTTCATGAAAGGCCGGTTATACATCCAGTTCGATGTGGAATTCCCAGAGTCTGGCGTCCTTTCAGCTGATCAACGTCGTAGTTTGGAGAAAATTCTGCCACCTAGACCAAGTAGTCGCTTGTCAGCCATGGAACTGGATGAATGTGAGGAGACAACTTTACATGATGTTAATATTGAAGAGGAGATGAGGAGGAAGCAGCAACAGCAGCAGCAGGAAGCTTATGATGAGGATGATGATGAACCAGGGCCAACAGGGGTACAGTGTGCCCAGCAGTAAGGCTTATAATAATGCCTCGCCGAAGGTATAGCTTGATTTCAGTTTCATTATTTATCCTATGTTATTTTCTGTCACAGTCGTGAGTACTACTTTGTCCCCCTACCCCCCCCCTCCCCCCCAAAATAAAAAAAAAAAAAAAAAAACCCTCCTTTTAGTTAGTTTTGTTTTCTTGAATGTTAAAATTGAATATGTTAGTGTTTGTATTTTTTCCAAGGGAAATATGTTACCTGTGATTGGAGTTGTCATGTTGTAGAAGATGTTGACTTCATTATATTATGGTTATGCTTATAAAAAATTAAAAACATTGCATCTGTTATGCTTCTTGTGCTTAGAATGTGTTCTGGGCTTTTTCTTTATCGTATTATCTGAATGCTTGAGCCTTTTTTTTCTCGCTCTTTTATCCCATTTTTACTTCTGTAATTTCGACTTCCTTGTAATACTACTCTTTACTGCTTTTACTACACAGGTAACTGAAAATAAATTCTCGTTAGCACCGGTCTGTTATGGTTAAATCTCGGTCACACCTATACCATTGAGGCCACAGTGTTTTGGTTTTATCTCAAACAATGAAGGTTGGAGTTTGTATTTGATTTTTTTAGCGAACAGATTTGGAAATAGTATATACACACATTTACACACCGGGCGTGTGCGAAGAGTGTTCATTGCATGTACATATGTTGACGTTCATGCAAGTGTATTCTAGATGATTGTGCACATATATAAATGTTATACAAGAGCCATCTGAAACTGTAATAATCACTATTGATCGCCAGACCTTTCTGCAAAAGAAGTCTAGTTCACTTTTTGCAAAAAAATGGCTGTTACGTCATTTGTTCACATTTGGTTGCATTTGATTTGATATGCCAAGTGCAATATAA